CTAAACCCTGCTCTATCCTGTGCCAGTCTGTCTCCAACACACCTACCCCGATTACTCCAGTCACTGAATCAATCCACTTCATAGAGGGTCTTCCTCTCCTGTGCTGTCCCTCTACCCTCCCAAGCATGACATCCCTCTCCAAGGATTTGTCCATCCTTGCAACATGTCCAAAGTATATCAGACTTCAGAATCCTTGCCACCAAGAAGCAGTCTGATTTAACCTTCTCTAGGATTAACATGTTTGTTTTCTTAGCAAAAATCAGTATGTAGTAAAAAAGAATCAGAACTGAAATCTATATCACTAGTGGTATCTTGCTACAGTGATAACTTGCTAAAATGAACAATAAAAAACCACATGGGGAAAGGTATCCATTATAGGTTCTCCCAGTATCTGAAAAAGGAGCATTTCTATGTAATCAATAATATATACGACAAATTTAGTGTTCTCAGGCCTAAAATTAACCTACAAATAACACTTAAGACTTAAAAGAGCACAACAGATAGTGCTGGCAGACAATTCTAAGCTCTGAGAGTCTGATGAAAGTGCTTAAAGGAGGACCAAGGCAAAGAAGGTGGTGATGCCATTCCTGTTGCTTCAGTGGCTCACAGAAACACACATTGGCGGTGAGTCTGGCTTTTCGTCTTTTCTCATAAAAGTGAAAATCCTCATCAGCTATCGCTCAGTCGGTTAAAAGAAATCTCATAGGTCTTTCATAAAAGCAAAGTGGCATGAAGCAATTTTTTTTATAAGCATGGGTCACTAGCATATAAATAACACCTTATCAAATTTATTTAAATGCCTGACTATCAAATACTAAAACCTTACAGAACACCTATGTGTAGAATTTATCATTAAAAGTGCAGTTTAAGCTCTTCTTGCTTTTACAGAGCTTTAGCATCTCTAAATAATTAGTAGCATGTACTAGCTTATTACAGTTCAAGAGTGTACAGCTAAGAATGCATAAAGATTTATATACTTGATGAACTGGTAAGCTTTGGACATTGATAGGGAATTAGAACACCTGTCTCCACATGGATGCATTTAACCAAAAATAGCAAATAAACGATTGCCAGATAACTGCTACTTCTTTAATGCCAATTATGTGCCAGAGCCTGAGCTGGGCACTATTTACACATATTTACAATTATCACTAAATTAGTAGTTATTATTGCATTTTATGCATGAGAAGGTTTAAGTGACTGACCTACCATCACACAGCTATTAAGTGTACAACTTAATTACTCCAATACTCTTATGAATCACTATTAGAATTCTCATTTTAGGAAAATGTCAGTTACTTTCTTTATATAATAAAATTTCAATAAATCAACACCAAGTGATACGATACAGAACTGTTAAATTAATCCAAAAAAATGTGACTTTGCTTTATATATGGTAATCTTTTAAGACATGGTTACTAATCTTACATTTTACTCTTCAAACCCATTTCACACAAAATACAAGTATGTTGTTACTATGTACCATCGAGTCAGAACTGCCTCACAGCCGACCTTCCAGTGGTTTATAGAGGCAATAAAGAGTTGACTGCTCATCTTTCTCCAGCAGAGCAGCTGGTGGATTTGAACCCCATGCCTCTGAAATGACAGCGGAATGCTTTACCACTTAGCCATCAGAGCTCCCTACAAATGCGGTAACTGCTCAGTATATAACTAAGACGACCTGAGATAGCATATGCTCAACTATATTTTCTTTTTGCAACCACTAATGAGAAGCATGGCAGAGTCATATGGCAAAAGGCATGAATACAGGCAGTGGGGAAGAATTAGGACCTAGTAGTGCAATTCCTTGGAAGCAAAAGTGGCATCCACTTCCAAAATAGCTTGCCTCTGGAAACTCTATGAACTTAGAGAAAAGATGAAAGTTATGCGTGTTCAGGATTTTCATTCATAGGGTCACTATGAGTCAACTACAACTCGAAGGCACTTAACAACAACATATCCATTAATGCCAACACCATTCATTTAACTAATAGTTAAATGTACCTACTATGTAGCAATATGGTTGGTGGTGCTTAAACATTAAACAAGACAAACTACATGTTTTCACAGATCTTGCATTGTTTTATATAAGAATTTATTTTGAAATAAAATGTTAATTATAAACTCTGAGGCCTGATGTGAGTGAATATAGTTCTTCTTCCATAAATTTGAATTAAATACAACTGTGAACTGCTACATGACACCTACTAATCGACAGACTAACCAAAATCATGGAACATGCAAGCAAAATAATAAAGGAGAAAGGGTGTGGCAAAGAAAAGGTGCTTATTATTTCATACATGAGTGCTACCAACTATGAAGGTCCAGATTAACGCCTATCTTACCTAAGTCATTTCAAGAAATAGAAAAAGATAGGACGTATGTTCAGTCAATTCTGAAGATGCTAAAATCACAATGACTTTTAAACCATTTAGGAATAGTACACTAACAGAGTTATAAACCTGTGTTACTTATAGACATAAATAAATGCAAAAATAAATTTAAAGACATTAAACACCATGAATGCTAAAAAATAATAAAGTTCCTCATCAAATTAGGCTTAACTAAAGAATGGACAGATGTTTTAACACCTGAAAAATTTATTCATGAAATCCAGTTTGTTCATAAACCAAAAGATAAAAATAACAAGGTTTTATCAGTATATGGGAGAAACAAATTCAACAGTTATGTCTGTCACTCGTTCGTTGCTGTAAAGTCAGAACTCACTCATAGTTTATACTCCATTGGGGTTCCAATTACTCATCTTTCACCTGAAAGCCCAGCAGCATCCGAACCTTCAGAAAGGAGTGACCTTGAGGCTACAAGAACAGCTCCCTATGTTTGACATCACCAGAGACACCTTAATTTAGTCTTTAAAAACTACCAGCAGTTTACAAATCACAAAGTCAAGAAAGCTTTTTAAAAAGTTGTTGTTAATTGCTTTCGAGTGGAGCATGACTCACACCGACCCTATGAACAAAAGGCCTGAAGCCTTTCTATAACTATTGACATTTATCAAAGTTCCTAGAGTTTCCAGAGGCATGTTGTTTAGGAAGCAGAGAAGTCATGATCGGTTATAAAGATGCATTAGTGGAGAAAATGTAGAGGTATTCTCTTTACAATTAGAAATCAGACATTGATGCCTACTCCTGCCTCACTAAATAACAAAGTAACAGCAATCTTGCTGTTTTTATTAAGGTAATAAAAAGAACGATGAGACACAGGTAGGAAAAAATCAAAACTACCATTTTATGTACACAACATGATCAACTACTCACAAAATTTATCATAAACAAAAACAAAACCATTATAGCTTAAAAAACCAATTACTTTTGAGAAATATCCATATGCAAGATCAATTTACAAAAAGCAATAGTGTTCCTTGACATAAGTAATAATTAGAAAACAAAGGAGAAAATGCCAACAAAAGTCTAAGTGATTTGGTATTAATATAACAGAGTGAACAAGACCTTTAACAGAAAAAAACCCTCCTAATATCCCAACTTATTATTTCATGAATGGGATGATTTACAATTATAAAGTCATCAATTCTTCTCAATTTTATCTATAAAGGACAGTAGAGATAAAGCTACTGAGTCTCTTCTGAAACTCTGAGAGACATTATCCAGTAAGTCCAAAGACCAGCATCCCAGCCGTCTGCAGAAATAATTAAGTGACAATATGTTTGACATATAAGGGAAAAAAGCAGGTAAAAGACTTGGCAGCTGACATACTGGTACATATTTTAAGTAGCCTGGTAAAAGAGTCACTAAACTTTGCCTTTGCTACCAAAGATAACAGTGAACACCTCCCATCACTTTCACTTTGTTATTTCACCCTTATAGTTTGTTTGCCTCTGTTTTGACAGAGAAGTGTACTCATAAGATGAGAAAGGAGTCATTTCTTTTTTTTTTTTTTTTTTTAGCCTACAGCACCCGGTATTCCCAGGCGGTCTCCCATCCAAGTACTAACCAGGCCCGACCCTGCTTAGCTTCTGAGAGGAGTTATTTCTTAAATGTTCTTATTAACATTATAATCTTTTCCCTTATAGAAGCTCTTATAATTCCTTTAGATGACAATATAAATAATATCTTTTAATAAGTAGGCTTTTAGTTAACTAGCAACCTGATTAAACTAAGGACAAATTTTAATGTAGACGTGACTTATTTCTAGATATAGTCTATTAATTTTCTGACAGTTGATGGAAATTAACTTCAGCTATTGTATGTTAGGGAGTTCTGGTGGCTTAGCGGGTAAAGAGCTATGCTGCCAACCTAAAGACACACAGTTCAAATCCACCAAATGCTACACAGAAGATGGGAAATCCCTTCTTGTGCAACTTACTGCCTTTGATAACTCACTGGAGAGTCAGCTATGAGTCAATTTTGACTCAACAGCACTTAACACCACCACATATTAGCATACTATGATGCTCTGGGGTATAGTTCCTCCTAGGGAGGTGCACTGCTAACCCAAAGGGCATGCCTCGCTGGCAGTTCAAATCCACAAGCAGCTCCTCAGGAGAAAGACGCCATCCATGCACAGCCTAAAGAAGCTCAACGGACGGTAAACTATGAGTCAGTTTCAACCTGACAGCAATGAACTTTAGGGAGCACTAGTGGTACAGTCCATAGAGCACTGCCTGCTAACCCAAAGGCTGTACCTCTCTAGCAGTTCAAATCCACCAGTGGCTCTGTGGAAGAAAGATGGACTCTCTTCCCGTAGGCAATATACAGCCTTGGAAATTCTATGGAGTATCAGCTATGAATGGGTTTAAACTTGATGACTATGAGGGTTTTTAATAGCATATGACATGATAAATATAAATAAAAGATAGCCATAAAAATAATTTACTTCTTTTTTTTATAATTAACACTCCTTAAACAGCCAATCGAGCTTTCCATGCCTCAGTCTTAGTAAATAAAAACTCACAAAAATGAGAAAGCAGAGTTTTTAATTCAATCTACATCTGTAGTAGGCCAACACAGATAAAGACTCACCAGCACAGAATATATGTGAAGACATCGATAAACAGGAGAAAAGTCCACCAAATCCTGGGCCCCAGGTACCTGCAAACAAACCAGAGGTCATTAGGAAATGTTTTCAAAGCCCTTAAAAAGTACATTCACTTACTTTAAGTGCCCAAATGTTTTTGGTTATTTAAAAAAAAAAAAAAGTTCTAGCTTCTGAAAGAGAAATGCAAAACTGTTCAACAAAGCCATACGCCCAGGAACCCAGTTGTGATCTTTTTACATCAAAATGAGTAAGCAGTGAAAATACATACACACCGCGACCAAGACAGAACCCACAGTATTGGGTAACAGGGAGCAGAAGCTGGTGGCACTGGTCTTGTATCTACCTGGATGGTTAGTTACATCTTGGCTATGGCCTCCCTTAAATGGAGTCTGACTCATAGCAACCTCTGAATATGGTCTGGGGGCCTGGTGGTAAGGAACTGTGCTGCCAACTGATAGGCTCATGGTTCAAATCCATGAGCTGCTCAATGAGAGAATGGACAATCTCCTCCCATATAATTAACTGCCTTTGAAAACCCACTGGAGGGTCAGCTCTAAGTTGGTCTGACTTGATGGTACACAGCAACAACAAAGGGAAAAGTAAGAGATGGGTGAATATTACATAGATGGCCTGATTTTTGCCTTTGACTTATGGTGACTGAAACAGTTACACAGTGAAATGTCCTGCCCAATCTCTTAAGAGAACAAGAATTTTTACTATATGTGCCAGTATTTAAGGCATAGAAATATGCAAGGAAGAAAAGTGAAATCATATTAAAAAATGTAATAATAAATGGGGGGGGCCAAACTGAGACATAATACCAACAGTTTATAAAGTAGATGACAGAGATTAGACCTAGACATTTAAAAAGAAAAGTATTTGAGGGACGACAGGAATAGAATTTTGGTGCTAAAATGGGCCTTTCAACAGAAAAATGGGAAAAGTCAAGACAGAAAAGTGACTTATTTGTTGATTTACATTTAACATGGTAATAAAATGCTGAACAGACAACAAAAGTAAAAAAAAACTCAAAAGGAGTTCTTACTGCAACTGACATGTCTAAAAGATTAGATAACACTCTGATAAAAGGATAGTTTCTCTTATTTCAGAAATTAAATAGCATTTTTTTTCTTTTGAAGCACAGCTGCTTCACCAACGTGGTTTTCCTAATGAAATCAACTCATCCTACAATTTAATGGCACAAGGTCTCTTTTCTTTTTGAAATCATCATGTATCTATATTACTAAGTCAAGCATATTTGTCTGCTTCACAGCTAATACAGTAGAAATGACTTATCTATGTTTACAAAACTCACAATGTAAAATTATAAATAAAAGACTCAATAAGAAAGTAATTACTTTTTTAAAAAAATCACTCTGTAAGTTACAGAATTAACAGTACACACTCAAAAACTTTCATGTGAATTCAAATAGTGATAGTCAAAAGCACATTTTACTTAAGGGGGGAATCTATCAACCAATACTTTAAAGAGCTAATAAGCACTGCAACAACATTTTATGAATAGATAGGAACAAAATAGGCAATAAAGAGAATTACAAAATATGCACAAACGTAACACTTAGAGTACAAATGGACAATTATTTTCAAGTTAATTACAAAATAGTCAAGAGGTAATCATTTTAGGGAATCTTGTTTTAGATGATCACATCATTTAAAGGAAATTTTTTTTTAATAGCTTCTGTTAGGATCATAAATTCCAAGAGTTAAGAGTAAGATCATTTTATCATCTAGGCAAAAAAGAGGCTATTCGTAAAACCCAGCACCAGGTGAAACGCAGTCTTAAAAAAAAAAAACTGTCCTAAAATCCTATTATCCAGTAGTATATATGCTACATAAAAATGACAGATGTGTGCTTGCTTTTTTTTTTTTTTTAAACAAAGAACAGGGTGTGTGAAATGGCCTCTAGCCACTGTTCTGACAGACACTGGCCCCTTTCATATGTCAGACTACTCCTTATGGAATGAATATTTAGGTTTAGGATACTGTTTTACAAGAAATTTCCAAGAAGGAAGTTGAGGCCCTCCTTCATCAAAGGAAGCAGTGAGGTTATTAATGCACTGTTGTTATTCATCCTTTTATGCCATCAAGTTGACCTCAACTCATAGTGGCCCTACATACAAGACAAAACATTGCCAGTCCTGCACCATCACAATCTTCACTGTGCATAAGCCTATTGTTGTAGCCACTGTGTCAATGTACCAAGACTGGTTTATCTGAGAATACATTTTTAAAGAAGCTATTTTAAGAGAGTGGGGAAAGGCCTTTCCCATCCTGTCCAACTTAGAATCAAACCTATTCCCCAAGAGGACCTTTCTGATCACTTCACTCAGTCTCAAAGTGCCAGAAGTGCCCTGCCTTAGAAGTACTAGTCCGGCTTGCTGGCCTCTGGAACTATTATCCAGCAAAGTGCTCCTAAGTATATGACTGTCGGCCTTGACAAGAGAATACAGAAATCTAGGCAGGAAAAGAGTAAACCGGGGCTTCAGGCACAATCCCTACCTCCACTCCCAAAATAGCCTCCTATTTGGAAATCCTTTTTTCCTCTCAGTCCCCTCCTGTGAGGAGCACGAGGATGCGCCCCCAGAGGAGCTCTGTGAGGATAAAGGTATGTGGAATATGCACTGACTCATGCTGCTGGGAGCGAGTTGTGTTTTCTCTGTTTCTTCTAATGAAAAAGAATCGCGTCTATGGAGAGCCGAAAGGAGAAGAGTAGCATGAACTCTACGTGAAGGAATGTTACACATTTGGAAGAATAAAAAACTGAACTTTCAAAAATCTAAATAAATGGGGGCAAGTGATGAGCACTAGAACAAAAGGCCATTTTCTCCTGACTAGCACAAATAGGTCTGTTTTAAGGTGCACATTTTGCTCCCCATTTAAAATGTTAAACCTCTGTCAAAGCTATCTTCATTCTTCTCTTGCTGTCCCCCTCGTGCCCCTGAAGTTGCAAAGAATAACAAGCAGGTTTAGGTTTCAGCTCAGGGTCCAGGGAGTGGTCCAAGGACACTTTCCTAAGCCAACAATGACTGTCCCTAATGGTTTCTGTCTTGGAACAAAAGCCATGACTCTTTTATCGGCTTCATCTAATTTTTCCTTTCCAAAGTAAATAACACAGGCCCTGCATTTTACACATGTCCAAGTTTGACAAATCATTATCGACTGAGACTAAAACTGATAAGAGATAACTTTGTGGTAGGACGTTGTCATTTCCTCTCATAAGGACTTTCTTTCTGAGATACAGAAACATGATTAAAATAGTTAAACATTTCCTCTGCCTGGCAGTCAGGAACTCAAGACATTAAGATACTGTGGTCTGTATTTTTCTAAAAGTTCAAATAGATCTATGAAGATACCAATGGTAGCTACAAACAGAAAGTTCAAAATTACCCTACTGTTTTTTTTAAACTAGTTAACTTCCTTAAAAATCCACATGAAATAATTTCATCACCAAGGACAGCAGCTAATTTCCTAACATTTCTGAATGCAAAGTCTGCCAGTTCAAACCTACTTCTTTTCTAGGAGGAGCAAATAATAGGCAAAATTTAAAATTCTTTACCTAAAACATCTTTGCTTCATATTTTATCATATAAATTGTAAGTAAGAAGAGTTGAACTACAATACCCAAAGGGTGATACCATACAGACAAGTACTGTATTCTTCCACAATTACGCATTCAATACTCACTAGAGATCTTGTGCCTGCTAAGTACCAACACATGTGAGAATTGTGTCACAATTACAACTTATAGTCATAACTATTGAGAACTTCCCTCAAAGCAATACTTCTCAACTGTGTCTACAGAATATCTTTTTAAAAGTATCATTGATGTGCTGTTAATACACTCTCATAAGATGCCACTGTATACCAACTGCCATCAGAATCAGTTCCAATCACAGCAACCTTCCATCCAGTTTCCAGGGCTGTAAACCTTTATGAGAGGAGATGGCTCATTTTTCTTCCATTGGTGAATTTGAACCACTGATCTTTTGGGTAATAGGGAAACATACTACTATAAAGTTTAACTATAAAGTCTGGAATCAGAAGCTAGGAAAGGGGGTGAGGGAAGCAGCTAATTAATAGGTTGAATTAATTATTTTTAAAGGCTGACACTAAGTAACTCTTAACAGCTTCTAAGATAATACTTATTATGGAAGATACAAAAATTCATAAAAACAGAAATATTAGACACTTAAGAAGTAAAGAAATAATGTATATTTATGGTTATGAAATGCTTACAAAATAACCAAGATCTAAGTTTTAGGCTAAATTTTTTTTTCTTCTTCTCTAATACAATTTAGTTCCACTAGAAAAACTTCCAGAAAATAGAAAGGTAATGACTAAGTAACTCTAGTAAAGTTAAGAAAAATGCTTTAAAATTCTTTTAAAGGAGACTTTAAATTTTAAAACATTGATACCTAGTATTTTCTAATACAACTACCACTCCTCCTTAAAAATTTTTTAAAAGGAACAGAACTATACTTCTTTAAATTATTGTTTTTTTAAAAAAAGGTTCGCTAGTAAAGGGAAGCAGAAAAGCCAATTTGATATGTCTATTGCTTTACAGAGTACTTAAAAAGGTTGTTTGCTCCCTTCGATTCAAGAAGAGGAGCAAATGTATCAGGAGTGGTCTGCTCATTCTGTTGACAAATAGCATAAGAAAATGAAAACAAAAATGCCTTAGTTGTCCTAGCCCCACTGTTCCCACAGCTTTCCCAACGCATGCATGCACACCACTGACTTCTCTATGAGGCAGAGCACATAAAAGATAATACGTATCTGCAAGGCACTTATCTATGCCTCTAATTCTTTGACTCACTCTCTACCTCGAAAATACTTCTGAGTGCCTCTTGATACAAACCCATGTCTCAGGTGAATGCAGGGACGTGGGCCCATTTCTGAGCATCAGTTAGATCTCAGGTAATTAAAATGTACCAGACATTTTTTCAGGGAGAAAACACCAAGTGATTAGCTGAAGTGGCACCGCCTTTGCACTCAGAGGATCAACTGTGACTGCCTATATTATGTCTGGAAT